CCAAAACCAAAGTAATTACTCTGGCCAATCACATAGGACACAGACAATACATTGAACCAATCAAAACTCGAAGTAATTACATGTGGCTGACGCAAAGCGCGGGAAAATGCATGCGAGCGCGTCACAATTGGCTTTGGTTTTACTTCTGATTGGATGAAAAGGTGGCGCGAATCTTTTAAGCCAATCGCATCGTGTAGAAAGTGCAAAACCAATTGCTTTTCGACACTCAAATGAAAACCGCTCTATCATGTAATCACTTAAAATATGGAGCTTAATAAATAGTTCAGAAATAAATAGTTTGCATCGTTCCAGATAGAAAACGATTGATCAGATCCACTAGATCCGTCGCCAAGGGTTTAATGATGTAAAGTTCGAAACAGTTTTGCTATAAAAACAGCAACCTTAATGATGTGTGCAAAAAGTTTAAACGATGGGTAAGTATAAGACCAATTTCGAGAAAAATGCTGTGGGCGTCTAGTGGTCTTTAAATACATTGTATTGCAGGCCACTCACAGGCTGAAACATTCCCAGAAGCTAATGTTAATAGGCCAATAACGGGTGGGAGTTGATTTCCCCGATACTTGCAGTCTCAAGAATCATGGAGTATTTATCATATGTCCGCTTAGTATTCTTTTGCTGCTTTCTCCGCAGAGTCACTTATGGCTTCGCCTCGCGTGACGACGCCCCAAAAAACGTCCGAGCGAAAGGCTATATCCTTATGAGCTGCAACACAGTAGACCCCACCTCATGGCACCAACGACGGCTCATCGAAAAGCTTGAGTGCGATGCACCAGTGCCCCACACCTAGACTTTAAGGCGCCTAAGAAGGAGCTGTTGTATTGAACAGGTCTTCTTGCACATCAGTGCAAGCTTCCAGGGAGAGACAAGACAAACTTAAAAGCAGGTGACACACGAACACCAACCAACCTCCTGGCCAGTTTGTCTTACTGGATTTACTGGCGCACAGATCGGCAAAAATGCTGATCCACATTCCCAGCGCATGCCGTGGGAAAACTGCCGTGCAGTTTCCAGCCAACAGCTCCCATACGTGTTGTGTTGAGCTGACGTTTAAAGGAGTACTTTGTACTTGCCTTGGCAGG